TAGCACTCTGTAGGGAAAAAAAGATGAAATATTTCTGACTAGCGATCTGACTTAAGTTTACTTGTTCTTAAAGTACTCCCTTTCTAAGAATGTTACAGGTATAGTAAGGTAAAAGAATGATATGAAATATTAATGATACACAGGAGTCAAGGAAAGGCAGAGATTTTTTTGTTTGTAGCAATAATGGTCTAGATTATACAGTCCGATCCTTCCATAAAAACAAATTTTAAAATGCAGGTTGTAACATAATCTAATTAGAAACATCAAATAGCTGACAAGTTCCTACGGAACTACCAGGCCACAATCTGTGGGAAAGTAGGAACGAAACAGGTAAGCAAGCAGGGAGGTACTTTTTTTCCTGATATGGGCAGATCTGCACTGATTTTGACAGCCTCATGGGAGAGGTGAAACAGAAATCAAAGCCCAGAACATACCTAAGTGGGGAAAATAAAAAGGCCTTCATCACAGCTAAGGTCACCTGAAAGTCCCCCCAGAAATAAGAGTGAACCAGAATTAATCCACCTCCCATCCTGAGAGTCTGCCAGGACACTTGCCTCGACACTGAAAATGTACACTAGGCGGGGAGGGAGGTGGTCCCTGAGAACTTGTATTCACAAGCCAGTCCTTGTGTGCAAAACTGCAACTCAAATTCACATCACCTGGGTGGTCTAAAAACCTTTCAGAGGTAAATTTAGGTTAAAGTGGTCCCAGACTAGAAGTGCCGCCAGGCACCTGGCAGAAACAAAAGCAAATCCTCGGCATAAAAGGCCATTCATCCTAAGCCTCAAAGAAAACCTGCAGGTAATTTTTCAGTGGGAATGATGAATACCCAGGCAAAAAGAAGCAAGAATACAACAAGAACAGACAGACCGGAGTGGGGGAAATCTAAGAAAAATAGAGATCCTAAAAACAAATTCATCCTTTAATGAATTCTGTGGCCATTTATGCAAGGAATATTTATTGAGAACCTACTCTGTGCCAGGCTCTATGCGAGGTTGTTGGACATATGGGCCGGTTCAGCTGTCACGTGAACAAATCACCCAGGGAATGAAAGGTTCGTTCAAATGCCATTACATTTCTGCTTATTTACTTTTAGTTTCTGTGTTTTCCTAAGACTTCCAAACACCAAGACTCATGAGTGCCCATTACTATTTAGTGATAGATTTGGAAGTAAACAGTAATCTCCCAGGACTGAGACTGACATCATTGATTCCTTTCCCAGACTCATTCCCTAAAGGTTCCATGTTTGAGTTAAGTCTATTTATCCCCTAAGCAAAGCACAGAGTCCTGTGCATTAACAGAAAAGTGCTGAAAGACTAAGATAACTATCTCAGAGATATGAAATTCAGAGTTAACTACATTTATCTTTAACGGTAAAAGTCCAAAGAGATGATCACGGAATAATAGCATGAATCGGGTAACATTAATTTTAAGGTAGATCTGGAAACAGTTGGAGGCACAGGCAGGGTGGAGTGTAGTCCAATATTTACTTATATATAGATTGCCTTTCTTGACCAAGGTGGTTGGTTAAAATCTTGCTGACTATCTGTGTTATCCTGGTACGTCTGTACTGATTATCGACCTTTGTCTTCTCTTCAGCTTTTCACAATTAGGATTCAAATTGTCACCTCTACCTTCTGTATTTGTTTGCTCTTATTAAATATTCTGGTGGTTGTCATTTACTGAGCCTTGGGAATGGTCTGCACCATGCTTTCTTCTCTTTGCTGACCAAACCACAACAGCATGGTATAATAAAATTATTAGCAATAGCAACTGCATATGGGGTCCTTACTCTGGGCTTAGAACTCAGCAAGATGGTTTTTAAGAGTTATTTTCTCCTCACAACAACTATAAGGAGTAAGTCATTATTACCCCCATTTCACAGATGAGGAAATGTATGAGCCAGAGAGGTTATATCCTGAAACAGAGATACAGAGGGAGCAAAAGCATGAGCTTCAAAGTTGGACAAAACTGAGTTCAAATCTTGGCCAGCTCGTGGCGTTTCTCCTCCCTAGAGATGCTGCTCAGTTTTCTGGAGTTGAGGCTGCTGTGGAGATGAAATGACACGCAGCCTAGCTAAGGGCCTGGCCTCTGGGGAGTGCCTGCTTCTCCTTCCTTCCAGCGGTTACTCATCTGGAAACTCATGTCTTGCAGCATCTTCAAATAGTTTAAAAGTAACTACTTTCAGGAAAATAATGTAGTACTGTATGCAATTTTTAAAATAATAAAAAGGTAGGTAATCTCTTACATGGATGAAGACCTTTAACTTTCCCATGCCTTCACTCCCTCCCAACCATTGGCTTGTTCGATCCTTTGGCAAATACTTCAATATCTCAGTTGACTTTTTTAGATTGGTTGTCTCCAGGACATATTTGTCCGTGGGCTTGAAAAATGCTAATCCAGGAAATGACACAAGAAGAAAAGACCAGGCCTTTGCCTTTCTTTCCAGTCCTCTGGCTGCAGCCAGCCTCCTTCCTTCTCCTGGGATCTATGTGTGTGTCAATAGAGGGGATGGGAGGTGGCCAGGGTTGGAGGTAAATCAAGGCGGGGGGGGGGGCTCTGACACATAGCTGTCTTTGGTTTCCATGGTAAGGATGCCTAACACAGGAGGAGTGTGCTATCTTCCCTTATAAAAGAACTTTTCTTTTCTTTTTTTCTTTCCCCCAGACTTGTGAGAAAATCATCCTACATTCTCACATATAACCCAAACTACTTACTCTTCTTAGAGTGGTCTGAACTGAAAGGCTATATTCATTCAGTCAGTGTGGCAAAAAAAAAAAAAAACCTAAGAAAGATGTATTTACCCCAGTATACCACCTGGCACACAGTAGGGGCTCAACAAATATTTGGAGTTACTGCGGAGACTGCAGCATAAATTGATGATCCTCTACCGACAACAGAGAACATTGTAAGGATTTCTTCAAGTCCCTGAAAAGATCAGCCCAGCCTCCCTCCCAGGACAGCTTCCTACATCAGCCAGATTTACTTCTCAAATAATTGATTAGTTCAGAGGTCACACATGTGGACAGATTTTGTTTTGGCCTGCAAGGTTTCAAAACACGTTTTGAGTTAACATTTAAAGCTTAAGAGACTTCATACGCATTTACAACTGGCTTGCTTTACCCAATTGTATCTATCTGGCCCTTTGGGGAACTTGTGCTGGTGCCCTGCATTATAATTGTGTTGGCTAAATAAACCCACAATAATTTCACAAGTCCTGATAGCCAGTTCAGGTGTTAATTTAACCCCATGCAGAGCATGTACACACCCCAAACCAAAAAAAAATAAAAGGTTCCAAATGTGTAAACACAAAAACGAAACCTCTGGCCCTCAGATTTCTCCAGCCCCCTGTGCAGTTGCCACGATTAGTTTGTAAAGCCCCTGTTCTCAGACCCTTCACTTCACAGGCTCATGTTTGATGGAGTTATGACGGGGAAGGACCACCTGCCCCTTCATTCCTAATGCCTGACAAAGCAACACCGACAGAACTGGGAAGGAGTTCTTGATGAGAGCAGGGAGGTAAGAATGAAAACCCCACTGACATAAAAAGCTATTAAGTATCACAGCAGCTTGCCATTTAGAAGACATCATTTAGAATTTTACAGAAAGTAATCAAATTAAATAGGAGTAAAACACAAGTGATTTCATTTAACAGTGTGTTGAAGTATAATACTGAGAGTCTCCCTACTTTACAATCAGTCCCATAAAAAGCAAATGGACCTGGACCACTTGCTCAAACTGATGCTGCCTTCCTCCTGGACCTTCCTGAAGGTCCAGTGTGGCCCCTTGAAACCACAAGCCCCCATCCCCTTTCCCTTGCTGCTCAAGGCCCCACTTCTAGCCCCTGGTTGGCCCCTCCCCTCTCCTTCCCGAATTCGTGTTTTTCTTTTTCATCTTTTCCACAGCCTTCCACGAATACATCTCAAAGATATTTCAGTAATAAATAATATATAATAATAGTAATAAACAGTTATTGACCACCTACTATGTGCCAAGCACAAGTCTGAGAGAGGTCGACCCATTCAGTAACCACCATAATCATCGGAGGCTTGCAGTGTGGTAAAGAGAGCTAAGCAGTCAGACTGCTTGCTAGTTGGGATCTAAGCAACGCTGGCAGACCACCCCTGGTGTGGCCAAAGGCTGTCTGCAAGGCTCCTTGAAACTCTAAGGGCCTATGATCACTGCTGTCATTTTTAAGGATGTAAAACTTACAGCTGACCCTGTCGCTAAGCGGAAAAGGAAACCTTCTATTTCCCATACAGGGGATGGCTGGGATTAATTCTGGATAAAATTGAGTCTTATCAAAACAGCGCCTTCATCTCACTCCACCAAGCCGAGGAGCCCCCCATGACTTAACTTGAGGTGCCACCCGATGCCAACAGGAACTGAATCAAGCTAGAATCCTGCCAGTGTAGAAATACAATTTCCTCCCGTACGTCTACATAGTTGCAGTTTCCTCTATGAAAGTCTGTCATTAAAGTCCACTCCAAGGAGGTTCTACGGGCAAATCTCAATGACTGTCGCTGAAATGTGCGCAGCGACCGGACCTGGCAGGACCGGAGTCGGCTCAACCCACCCTCCGCTGGACCTGTGCGGAGATCATACTGAAGGAAACGAGGGTCCGGAAAAGCTCTTGGGGAAGAAAGGAAATTTCCTCTCTCTGGTCCTTTCTTTTAATTAGGGCTCACTTTGCCTGCTCTAGGAGGTCTGTCCCGGCGTGACGCCCCCAAAGGGTGTAGGTTCCCAGAAGCGCAGGGCGGAGAAGGACTGCCCCGAGAATCCCAGCCGTGCCTCGCCCTCCCGCTTTCCCTCCTCCACGCCCTCCTCTTCCTCCTCCCACTCTTCTTCCTCCTCCTCATTCTCCTCCCGGCGCCCGAGCCTCTGCGCCCGGGCTTCTCGCCTCCTCCCGAGGAGGATGGGATCCGAGTGTCCCGGGGTAGGGGCGTCGACGCCGCGCGCATGGAGGGGAGGAGGAGGAAGGCAGGCGACTCGAAGCCTACCGTCTTCTGTTTCTTGACTTCGGCCATGCTGGAGGGCTGCTACGGTGCTCGGCACCCTGGAACTCGGAGCCCGACTCCTGCGAGCGGAGACGCTAGGACGCACGAGGGCGGTGGCGGCGGCAGCGACGGCAGCGACTGCTGCCGGACTGCGGGAAAGGAGGTATAAAAAAGGCTCCACAGACACGTCGCACTTCCCTTGACCAGCCCCCTCCTCCCTACTCTCCCCCCCGCCCCGTCCCCTCCCTCCCGTCCCCGTCCCGGCCCGTCCCGTCCGCCGCCCCGCCGACCC